TTAAATTTCTGGGAATTTATTTCGACGAAACCCTTAATTGGAAAGTGCATTGCAACCATCTCGTTTCCACTTTAAGTTCAATAAATTTTTTATTTAAAAACATGAAAACAATTTTATTCAAAAATCAGTTAATTAATTTATATTATGCTCAAGTAGAATCGCGTCTTCGTTATGGTGTCTGTTTCTGGGGTGATTCCACCCTCTCACATTCTGTTTTTATTTCACAGAAGCGTATTTTGCGCAATATTGCTGGTGTACCTAGTGAACATACCTGTAGAGATATTTTTAAACAATACAAAATTTTAACTTTAAGTTCGTTATTTATATTTGATATGTGTATTTATGTTTTTAAAAATAGGCAAAAATTTTATTTAAATAGTGACATACATGGTGTAAACACAAGGCATAAAAATAATATTCGGGTACCTTTTTCTAAATTGTCAATTACCAATAAGTCACCAAATTATTTGGGGCCTAAAATTTTTAACAAATTACCTTTTGAATTAAGACAAGATAAAGTATCTTTTTATCAATTTAAAGTAATGTTAAAATTATATTTAGTGACCAAATGTTTTTATTCCTTGGGTGAGTTTTTTGCTTCCTAGGTTAAGTTACATTTGTTTTTACTTTAAATATCTGCTATACGTATAGGTGACTATTGTTATACAATTTGTAATTGTCTCAAAACAAAATAAAACATCTAATCTAATCTAATCTAAGGGTACTACTATTAAGGTACTAAGCTAATTAAAAAAAAAAATTGAAGAAAATATAATTTTTAAAAATTTTAGCAAATGAAGTCAAACGATATTCTTCGACATCAAGCTATGCAAAAGATATTCAACCTCACAGCCCAGTAAAAACTAATTGTCCAAAAGAAAATGAAATGTTTAAATAATTAATACAAAAACACAGTATGTCTTTCTATCTCGGATGTCGAACGCGCTTAATTCCAAAAAGTGATGGAGGGGTCTTCTTGGAATTCTATATCAACAAATATCGTATAGGTAAGTAAGTAAACATTTATTTCCTCAAGTTACTACAATATGAAGTTACATAAATAGAAATACAATTTTTTGAGATTAGAGAAGAATAACATAAAAAACATAATTAAAGGTGTAAGGAAAGTATTGTGTTGGTGATAAATATTAAATAAGTATACCAACATATTTACATATCTGCGGTTTTTGCCCCAAAAATTGAAAGAATATAAGATTTAAAAAAAGAAGAGAAAAAACAGCCACAGAGTACAAACCCACAGCTAAACATTAAAAATACAAAGGGAATTAAAATTAACAGTAAATAAACAGACACATATTTATGTATTTTACATGTACAAGTTAAAACTTAATTTTAATAAAAGACGTGATAGACTCTTATTGCCTTAGAGTGCACTGATAAAAAATTCATTTAAAGAATAGAATTCATGACCTCGTAAAAGGATTTTTAGTTTTCGCTTGAAAACTTTGCTGTTTAATGTCTTCAGATGAGATGCTAATTTATTATAAACCTTTATCCCCGAATACAAAGCAACATTGCGAGTTCTATTATAATTATATTGTGGTAAAATGAGATTTTGATGACGTGTAGGATAACTATGATAATCACTTGGTGTTTTGATCAAATGTTTATTTTTATGAATTAAAATAGATAATCTGTAAACATATAGATTAGTAAGGGTAAATATTCCAATTTTTATAAAATAACTTCTGCAAGATTCTCTATGAGGTAAATCACATAAAATTCTTATTGCCTTTTTTTGTACCAGGAATACATCTTCAGAACTAGTAGATCCTCCCCAAAGCTCAATTCCATATTGCAATACACTCTGGAAATATGCATAATAAACAATCTCTGCTGTGAAAAATCAATATTTCGTTTAACAGTTAGTATTGCATATATGGCTTTCCCTAGCTTTGTCTTTAAATTGGTTATGTGCTCCATCCAATTCAATTGAGAGTCGACATAAATGCCAAGAAATTTCGTGGATTGTACTGAGCATATTTGATTACTATTTAATTTTAAAGAGGTATCTGTAATTCCACGTAATTGAAATGTTATACTGTTAGTTTTATTGCAATTTAGCATCAGCTTATTTGCAAGAAACCAATCAGAAACGTGTTCTAAAATATTTTTTGCTTTGGTTGTTAAATCGTTTTTGTTAGCATCCTCTATTAACAAGCTGGTGTCGTCAGCAAATAATGAAAATTTGACCTCTGGAAAATTTGGGACGATATCATTAACATACAACAGAAATAACAGTGGTCCCAAAATAGAACCTTGTGGAACTCCGCTTTCAACTCTAACAAAGCCAGAATGAATTGTTTTCCTTGTCAGTTATGCCATAATACTCCAGCTTGTCACGTAATATTTGGTGATCAATACAATCAAAAGCCTTGGACAGATCACAAAAAATGCCTAACGGGATTTCCTTATTTTCCAAACATGTATTGATGTTTTCTATTAATTTAAAAGCAGCGTCTGTAGTGTTAAAGTTTTCCCTAAATCCGAATTGTGAATTATCCAAAATGTGACATCTATTTAAATATAATAATAGTTGTTGTTTAACTATATGTTCTAGAATTTTTTAAAACGACGGTAAAAGAGATATACCCCTATAATTTGTGGGGAGCAATTTGTCTCCCTTTTTATAAAGCGGTTTTGTTATCGCTTTTTTAAAGGATTTAGGAAATTCACCATTCATTAAGGACAAATTAATTAGGCATTTTAAAGGTTCGGCTAAAGCTTCAGCATTATCCTTTATTATAGTTATAGGGATATCATCATAGCCAGCTGATATCTTAGGTTTTAAAGCTTGTAATGCTTTTTTTACATCTAAGCGAGTAATTTGTTCAAACAGAAATCTAATTGTATTGCTAATATTAACGTTATTAATATAACTTACACTTGACTTTTTTGATATTGTGTTTGGTAAAATATCCTTCGGGGAATTAATAAAAAAGTTGTTAAATTCATTAGCGACTTGAAGAGAATCCGTGATTAAATTGTTATTTATTTTGATGGCAATGTTTTCATTTCTTCCAGGAGGTTTATTTCTAGTAAAATGATTAACCATTTTCCAGGTTGACTTAATTTTATTATCAGCATTTACTATTTTGTCCTTAAAATATTTTTGTTTTGCAACATAAATTATCTTTTTAAGTGTCTTTTCATAGTTTTTAATATAATTTAAAATGATTATGTTATTCGTGTATTTTTTTAGGTTAATTAAAAATCTTTTATTTTTAAACGAAATTCTAATGCCTTTGGAAATCCATCCCCTATAGACTGGAGAAGCTCGATGTTTTATATTTTTTAAAGGAAAAGCCTGTTCAAAAACTTCATTAACATATTGATAAAAAGTGTCATATGCCATATTAGTATCATTAATAATATACCCATCATGTCCCAATTTGTTTTATCTTCTAGTTCAGAAAACTTTTCCCGGTTGAAAGTGTTAAAATTCCTTTTTGACTCAATAATATTTTGATTAAGCATTATGGAAGTACAAACATCAAGTGACATAATCTGGGCCTTATGATCAGAGATTCCCAATTCCTTTGTTTCGACGGAGAATGTTAAATTGCTATTAATTACTATATTATCAATAGTTGTCGATGACGATTTAGTTACTCGAGTGGGTTCTTTCACTGTAGTTTTCAAATTAAACATGTTTAACAGATTATCAAAATCCCTGCGATTTTTATTTTCCGTTCTAAAATCATTATTAAAATCCCTGCAGATAATATAATCAAAACTTTTGTATTTTCCGTGTAATTCTACCATCATATCAAAAAATGCTTTTAAAAATATTTCCATATTACCGGATGGAGATCTATACACACATATATAATAAGCTTTAAAGTTTTAGACATTGCTAATGTGCATTCAAAGTTTAGTTCAACAGAAGAGCTTACCACGTCTAGTTTTACAAAATCCGTGTTACATCTAGCAAAAATTATTACACCACCATCCTGAAATTGTTTTCTACAAAAACACGAAATAATATCGTATATTATGTATGTGATAATAAGTACCAGCAAAAGCTAACAAAATAATAATTTCTTACTCATAAGGAAAGCGACTGCAGATAATAATTAACAGTTGTCTAAGTATACATTGCACGGTTAATCGTTTCTGGCGATCGGTAGGTAAATACCCATTTCAAAAACAAAAATGATCGTTTAATAGATGCTATTTTTACCAATAGTGGTGAAGCATCCAGTACTTCACATTGTAGTAATCGCGTGATTATACGATAACATGTACATCTCTTTATTTTGCTAAGGGACGTTGACCGAGCATTTCATTGTGGTTTATGTGTGAATTTGATTTTTTTGGTCGAGAATAGAGCGGCACACGGCTTGACCACAGGTACTACAACGCGTATTGCCGCTTACTAGCAAAACACAGATTACTACTGTTTATTTACTTGATCGTAGGCACAAAGTTTCCGATGTCTAGTTCTAACTTATCGTCAGTTGCTGTTGTTTATGAATGCTCTCCTTTTATAAGGAATTAATAGTATTGCATTGGAACCACAGTCCCCCACGCGTCGCATCTGCGCGATAAGATAATGTTCATATTTCGCGCTGAATACCTACAGGCAAGGAATTCAAGGTGTTTGTTTATATCGCGATGTTTATTGTACGAAGGCGTGTCACATCGAGAGTGAGTAGACTGTCACACAGTTTCCAGAAAACTAGTGTCTACATGAAAGCAAATAAACATGGATTTTGAGATAAGGTACGTACGTGTTGAAACTATCCATTGTTATAGATTATTTAAATATTAGGTGCCTACCTAGATTAAGTTAATTATAAAATATTTATTCAATGACTAAAATTAACTATACTGAAATGAAATAACCGTTAATATCCGGAACGAATAACTGTACGGCGTCTAGAAGTATATTTATACATATAAAGTTGAAATATTCGTTTGTTTTGGTGAGTAAATTATTTAACAGGCAGTTTAACCGATGTATTTAATCGAAAATGAAAGTCGTCAGTTTCGTGCCATATATTAGGTATAGGTATCTCTAAGAGGTTCAAGGTTACCTACATCAGGTGTCCGTATAATCTAAACAATCAGTTAGCTGATAATGTATGTACGATAAGGTGAATGTGATTTTTTTAAATAACTTCTTATATATAGGGTGTCCAGAAACTCTTCCGACAGATAATGGCCTCAAACCTATTCTGGAGACGTTTTTATGCTGATTTGAACAAAATTATATAAAAATATCCTAACGCAGATAGAATACGACGCCTTACATTCAATTTCAAATATCTTCATATCTTTAATAAAAACGGAAGTTAGGTTTTGGAAATTTGATTCAATCCTCTTCAAAAACCTTTTGGTATGTTTGAGATTTTTTTATACTCAGTGTTAATTTGTAAAATTACAAAAAAATTACTTTTTCTGGAAAAATCTACGACTACTTTGCAACTATTATGTAAAGTATCAACTTTGAAACCGATTAGTCGAACCGTTTCCCTTTCCTGAATCGTCAGTTTTATAAAAAAAAATAAAGGAAAAAGTTTGTTGTTCCTTAAACATCAATTAATGATGAATAAGATGATAAAAAAAATTTTGCGTTATTTTTCTTACAATTTCGCGTTAAATGCTCATCAAATATCGAAAAAAACACATTCAATACTTTGAAAAAAATTCAATTTTGAAAAAAAAACAAATTATAAAAAAAGTATGCTATGTTTTTTACAATTTCACATTGAATATTTCAAATGTCCAAATGTTGCAATTTAGAAAAAACATTTTTTTCTTAATTTCAAAATATTCAGAAAATTATACTGAAGAATTTTCTGTTCAGTTTTGATGCGATTTTTTCTTCGCATGCCGTATTTCATCGAGTTAATATTAATTCCATCAATTTTAGTTGATAGCTCCAATTGAATCTTCATGCATTTTTTTACATGCATTGCTAAACGATTTATTGATCCTTTTTTTGGAAGGTTCTCAAACCCTTAAAAAAACAGTTTATTTCAAAACCATAATTTTTTTTCATTAAAAAGAAATAGTCCTAAATTTTATTAACAAATTTCTTTTTTTATCCGACATTTGATGAGTAGATATTCAGTGTGAAATTGTGAAAAACATGACGCAAAAATAATTTGAAAAATTTAATTTTTTTCCAAATTTTAAATTTTGTTTATAGATTTAACGCGAAATTGTGAGGAAAATAATGCATTTTTTTCATCTTAATCATTATTAATTGATGTTTAAGGAGCAAAAAACCTGCTTCTCTAATTTTTTATAAAACTGACGAATTAGGTAAGGAAATCGATTCTACTGATCGATTTCAAAATTTACAGGTCCCAAGGTCCCATGGGCATGTATGTACTCGGATTCAGCTAAAAAAAACCTACAAACATTGGTACTTTACGCAATATTTGCAAAGCAGTCGTTGATTTTCCAAAATAGCAGAAAAAGTGATTTTTTGAACTCTTTCAAATCAACACCAAGTATAGAATTTTTTTTCTTAAATATACCAAAAGAACCTTGATGAGGATTGATTCAAAATTCAAACCTATCTTTCGCTGTTCAGAAAATACGAATCACCCTGTATACTGAAAATATTAACGTTCTACGGTCAGCGTTTATATGAAACTTTTTTGTATCTGGTAAAGTTTTCCATTAAACCTGTACCGACATAGATATTTTGTCAAAATAAAATGATTTGCAGCCATGATGTTGCAAGATATCTTATAAATTAAAAATCTTGTAAACATACAGGGTGGCCCAAATATAACAGTCCACCTAAAATATTTTCAATGCAACAGGTTTTTCCGAAAAACCCCGAAACAGGTAGATTTTGCTTTCAAGGGGGACTATCTTTAGATCACAAATTCATGGTCATGGGCATCCCCCTAAACGGGGTGGCAACCCCTTTAAGAATCTTAAATGTCACGGGGTGTTAAGTGGCACATCATTTTAAAGGTATTTCAATTATCTTTACATACATGCTGAAATTATTTTGTTCTGCCTTAAAACTAATGTAAAAAATCTGTTGGAAGTATCGGTGAAATAAATAAAGTGAAGGTTTATCATCGAAGTCTTGATAAGGTGATGGATTTTATTAGAATTTTACCTGTAGTTTTGTTCCGATTTTACATCAATCAGAATTGTCTAGGTACTGAAATCCATTGATTTGTTATTATTCGCTGTTTTGAAGCAGGCGATTCAAATTATCGTGGTTTACACCACTACAGGGAGAATTGAAATTGTCACTCAAAATAATGAAATGGCCCGGGTAACTGCAAGAATTTTTAATGAATGGCATCCCGTTAAGAATCTCAACAATCCCTACGTAATAAATTTAATATCTAAATTCATGGAGATTGGACCCGTTGCTAACAAAAAACATGAAATGCAACACACTGTTACTGACGAGGCTGCACAGGTTCCAATTTTGGGACATGTGGAACTGGATACCACTTCAAGCATCTAAAAATTAGAGACAACTTCAAGAATTTCAGGTAGTAGTTTTCAGAAGTCTAGAAAAAGCATCAATTCTATCCCTATAACATTCATCTCGTGCAAGAGCTCAATGAAGATGATCCAGATCGCCGTATACAATTTTGTGAAAAAATTTTGGAACAATCCCAATTTTTTATATTGTACATGCTTTTCTGACGAATGCACATTCTTTCTTAAAGATTACGTCAACACACATAATTGCAGATACTGGAGTGATTCAGGATTTGCCTGAATTTATGAGAGAACAGCATTCACAGTATCAAGAAAAGTTAAATGTATGGGCTGGGGTTTTGGGAAATAATATTATTTGTCCATTTTTTCTACCTGATAACTTGACTTGTGAATCTTACCTCAATTTACTTCAAAACTTCATCTACCCTCGTATTGTGAAGATTCTTGAAAACAACGATCAGATTCCAGAGAATGATGTATTTTTTTAACAGGATGGCATTCCGCCACACTATGCAACTGCTGTACGTGACATTTTCAATTAACATTTTGCCGAACAATGGATTGGCAGTAAGGGTTTCATTGAATGGCCCCTAAGATCGCTTGATTTAATATCACTGGACTATTTCTTATGAGGTCATTTAAAAAGTATTATTTATAAAGCGAAACTTACCTCTTTAGAAGATCTTCGCCACCGAATAGTTGTAGCATGTGATGAAATAACCCCTGAAATGCTACAAAATGTTCGGAAAAATGTTGAACAACGGTTTTATTACTGTAAATGGGTCGCAATTTAAACATTTAATTAATTAAAACTTATTTGAAAACTTTTTCCTTTCGATTTATTTCACCGACACTTCCAACAGGTTTTTTACATTAATTTTAAGGCAGAACAAAAACATTTTAGCATGTTTGTAAAGAGAATTGAAATAACTTTAAAATGACGTGCCACTTAACACCCCGTGCCACTTAAGATTTTTGAAGGGGTTGCCACCCCGTTTAGGGGGATGACCCATGAATTTATGAACAAAAGATGTCCCCCTTGAAAGCAAAATCGACTTGTTTCGGGGTCTTCCGGAAAAACATGTTGCATTGAAAATATTTCAGGTGGACTGTTTTAATTGGGCCACCCTGTAAATTTGGCCAAGCATTTACTTTTGAGAAAACTGGCTACTACACTCGTGAATTTGGATAAACACGAATTACTCTGCGTTATTTTATGTAAAATTTAACAGTCGATTTAACAGTGTGTATTCTAGGCAAATATATAACAATATAGGTAAATGATAATCTTAGATAGTAACGCCTTCGACAGATAAGGCTGCTTAAACGCACTTTTAATATTTATACGTTAGCTAAAGTAGGTTGACTACCAGTGGGCTCGTATTCGTTTCATTTTAGGTGTGTATAAACAAATATAATTGTATTGTTGTCGAGCAATACGGTTCTAAGATACGGTTATGGTTAGTGAATTGTGTTGAATTAGGACAACCGTTTATTTGTGACAAAATTTAAAAAATACAGACACAAAAGAATTTTCAGCTATTTGTATATACCTGCAAAATACAAAAAACGGTTGATTTTTTAGAGTAGGTGAGTCAAAATGCAATAAAAGACATAAAAACATACAATAAATCTTATATAAATCTTAATTCTAATCTTAATCAAGAAATTAATAAAGTTAGGGATGAAACTGTGTCTCTCATCCTCAAAATTAACCTTTACGCAAGACATGAGGTTTGAATGATTACTATGTAACCAGATGTTCTAAGTCTAAATTTAAAGTATCCCGAAAACCTTTTAAACTGTAGCAAAGTAAGATTGTATCTACCATCTCGTAAGTCTCCCTTCTTGTCCGTTTTAGGATAAAAACTTATGTAAAAAGTACCCATATATTTTTTGTGCTATTCGCACTGAATGTATCGGGAGAAAATTTATGGTCACATCTCTAATTATGATAGCAGATGAACACTCAAAATAGGAACTATCATATTTACTTAAACACTATAATTTATACTTTTTCAGATATCAGTACGAAAATAGATTAATTTTCGAAATATTATATGTCTTAGAATGAAGTGATATAGTAATGTAAATTTTATTTATAATTCTTATCTGATTTTTTCATCATCATACAGTTTGCGCCTTCCTAACTTCAAATGGATGAACTATTATAGATTATTATTTTAGATGTTCATTAATAGAGTGACTAAGCAAGCTCACGTCATAATATTTTCCACTGTAGCAAAATAACTATTTACCTATTTTTATTTAAGTACATGTTTAAGCAGGTCAAT